GGCTGTATTGGCGTTTTACTGACAACCATCACCTTTGTTTTTTATGGTATTTAGCCTAAGTCCATATTCATCACACGTTGTGGTAATTCTGCTAATCAGATGTTGAAGTTCTTCGTAACTATTTGCAATTAAAACAGTGTCATCTGATTACCTCAAATTATTATTATTGATGCCAAAATGATTACTGGGGACAAAATGCAGCCCTGTCTTACTCCTCTTCGCATTTAAAGATCTTCAGAATTTTCCTGATGTTTGCACGTTGATGTCAGTTAATATTTTTAATAATACATAGGTCTTTAAATGCCTTGTTAAAATCAATATAACACATATAAAGTGGATGACCGATATCTCCGCATCTCTGTACCATAACCTGCACACTAAATAGTGCTTCTCTGGTTCCAAGGTTATTGCGGGATCCAAACTTCATGTCACTAAGATGTTATTCTATTTTTTTAGTACATCCTTGAGTGAAAAATTCAAAGAAATATTTTTAAAACATGCATCATTAAGCTGAAGGTTCGGTAGTCCCTACATCGTTTCGTATTTGATTTTTTAGCTATCGTCACAAAAATCGACAACAGCCAATCCGTTGTTATACAGCCAGTTTCATAAATTTTATTAAAATGATGAAGGAGAGATTTTTATGTCAGTTTCAGTCACTGCTACTACTACTACTATTTCAAGATCGGATCTTTCATTATTAAACAGTTTCTCAATGTACTTTTTTTCATCTGTCTATTTTATCCAAATCAGTGATCACCAGTTTGCCGTCTCCATCGATGATATAATTTGTATATTTTTTGTAGAAAGCCGTTACTTTTTTATTTTTTTTACACATATTAAATACTTCATGTTTCCTTGTAACTCTTCCATTCCCAAACATTGGTTTTCAAAGTATGTTTCTATTGCAGCTAGTATTTTATTTCTTATCCTTATTCACTCGTTTATATATTTCAACGTTTTGAGTCTTAAATTTGCGTCTTTTGTTAATTAGACTCAAAATCTCACCGTTCATCCACTACTTCTTTTTTCATTGTTATCATTTAAGTTTGGAGTTAAGCTGTTTATAATCGTTTTCATTTGGTTCCAGTGACCCTGAATGGATTCTTCTTTTTCTTCTTCCTTTTTTTATGTAGACATAACTCTGTTTGTTTTTCAATCTGCCTCCACTAAGTTGTCATTCCATCGTTTTCGTGGTCTTTCTACTGATCGTCTTCCTATTGGAGAACCGTCTCTTGCCGTCTTTAGTACTCTGATTTGTTGTCATTAAGCTTATATATCGTTCTCTCTAGATCGAATTCTGTTTTGTTCTATTATTTTTTTTGGACTAGTTTGAATAGTTGTTTGGTCAGATATTATTTTCCGTGCTTTAGGAGTTCGTTTGGTACTCTGTCCTCCCTTTGCGATTTTCTATTATTTAATTTCCTTATTGCTTCCTTAACCTTTTCCCATCAATATTTATTTCTTCGTTTGTCGTCACCTCTGGTGTTGGTGGTTCATTATCGTCACCTTTAGCAAATAGGTATCGAAAGCAGTCTGCCCATGTTTCCTTCTGAATGTGTTTCATTTTTATTGATTCGTTCATCTCTGATTATTCTCCATATTCATTATTGTGTTTTGTAGAAGTCGTGTTCCATCTATTTTGAGATGCTTTGCCAGTGTTCCCGTTTTATTTGTCGATTTCTGATTTGTTTATAGTGGTTGTATGCCTATTGTGTATTTATCAGAGAACAAAGTCACATATGCAGTTGAAAAAATAGCCATGGGTAAATGGGTTTGGGCAGGACATGTTGCGAGATTAACGGATGATAGATGGACCAGAAAGATCCTGGAATGGCGACCAAGGCAAGATGCATATCGAAGCAGAGGACGACCACCGACTAGATGGACAGATGATATCCAGCGCATCACCACAAACTGGATGCAAGAAGCTCAAAATAGAAAAAGGTGGAAAATTTACAGAAGCCTACGTTCAGCAGCGTTCAGCAGTGGACAAATAGGCTAATTGATGATGATGGTGATGCCTATTGTATTTGTTGTATTCTGTATTATAAAGAGGCTTTTCTCTTCTCATTACATTTTGTTTTCACTTCCTCTCTAAACTTGGTGTTTTCTTTTTTGATATGTTAGTGTTAGTTAGTTTCCTATTTCTAAGTGATTCTGCTGCTGCGTTTATTATGTTATTTTTTAGTTTTTTCCAGCTCACCTCGATGTTATCGCTTTTTAATATTTTATTCTTTGCGATCTTCTTTGATATTCTTTTTCTGTATTGTATTTCGTGGATTTCATATTTTGTCCTTGGACTTTGATTTTGGTTTTGTTGGCTCCGCTCTCTTGGGTGTAAAGTATTTCAAAATGATTTTTATTTTAAATAATACTAGGCTATGGTCGCTAACTTAATATATGTAAGTAACAAGTAACTCATCAATTACCATAAACTTAACAAAACGGCTACAAAATTTATTTAAATCCAAAATTGTTCCAAAAATGTAGGAACATCTAAATTTGGCATTGTAAACCTTTCTATACTCAATCGAAAATATCTTTGGTATTTAATTATTGTACATCTATGTTTTAGGCTAATCCATCTAGATTTATAATAAAGCCTTTTATCTATTTCGGGACTGCATTTTTCATCTGATCAGGTTCTAGAAAGACCTGTTCCAGGCATTTATGACATTTGTATGTTAATATCCTGTAGTTACAGTGAAAATTGGCGACTTCCTCGAGATTATTGCAGAATCTACTTGTTACTCTATCCCCTCTGCTTATTTTAAGGAAATGATACTTGCATAAGTAGGGTTCAATGATAATATCTATGACTATATTAAGTTTAGTCTTCTTAAACATTTTTGCTTGCTTTTAGCCTATACTATTATTCCAGTAGGGTTAAAAAGTTCCTATTTATATTCTTAAGCACTTTCTAGGTAGTTTTTTTGAATACTACAGAATAATTTTGTTCCAATGAAAAGAATACTAGTATCTTCTTCAGCGTTATTATTAGCAACCTCGTTACAAGAATTTTTTTTGCTTCCGTGGTTGTTTAAGGGCTGTTTTCAGTTTCAAGTTATTACTGACTTAAAAGTTGTAAACTTTAAAATCTTTATGACAGTTTGGCAATTAAAGCAGTCACTATTTGGGTCAAGATTACGCATTTTTTAGGCATTCCTGAAGACCTAGAAAGGTTAAAATCTAAATTTACAGTCATTATGCAGGGTGTCCAGAAACTCTCTTGAGAAACGAAGAGCGGAGATTCCTCAGAATTTCAAGACAATTTAATCCAATTTACTTTGCCTGCTTGTAATGCTTCCTCAGGGAGCTAGAGCTCCTTAAAAATGATGCCTTGTAATTAGATTTATTTAAGTACCTCCAGAACGCTTTTATTTAAAAAATGAAAAATGGTACAATTATTTTATTACTTTAATTTAATATCTTCGGACTATGTGAATTAAGGTTAATTGCCTTAAAATTATCTGAGGAATCTCCGCTCTTCGTATGTCTGTATATATACAGTATGTCTGTACGTACACCCTGTATATATGAGGATTTTCATGAATAATCTTATGTTTTTCCAATCCTTAAACCCCTAAGAAGTTCAGTTAGGTGGGTGAGTTTTAAACATTGGACCAGTGTTAATTTAATGCGGTTACTAGGCAATTCTAGTGCAATCCTTTCTAAGAGGGATCCTTACCCTACCAAATGCCCATTTGGTAGCGTAGGTTCTAAGAGTATCAAAAACTGCAGAGCGACACGATCCTACTGCATCGTTTTTTCCTATGCGAGCAAGTCCTTTGGCAACTATTATTGGCTTTTACTGCATTTCTGTATTTTATCATCATAGCACACCATAATTATTTATCGATCTTGTAATCGCTAGATATGACCAATAGATCATTATAAGTTTTAGACTTTCATGAATATTTCATTGAAATAGCTATTAATATTCTTCTTTTTGAGTACCTCTCCTATCGGAGATTGGATATCATTATGGCGATTCTAATTTTATTAACTGCTGTTTTGAATAATTAGTTAGTGGTACAGCCAAACCACTCTCTCAAATTTCTCATCCAGGACATTCTTCTACGGCCTGGATTTCAGCGTCCTTGGATCTTTCCTTGCATTATATTTTGTAGGAATGTGTACTTTTGTCCTCTCATCAGGTGGCCTAAGTATTCAAGTTTTCAAAGCTTTCAAAATTTTTAATATTCCTCTTCTTAAGAGTCCATGCCTCAACACCGTAAAGCAAAGTACTGAATACATAGCATTTTAACGTTCTAGTTCTTAGATGAATACTAATATCACGATTACAAAATAATTTTTCATTTTTATAAAGGTAAACCTGGCAATCTCAATACGTCTGTTCATCTCGTGATTTTGGTCACTTGTTTTATTGATGAGGGTTCCCAAGTATTTGTATTCGCTTACTTTCAGTTGGTACCGTTTATTGGATACAGTTTTTGCATGTGTCTGGATTCTTATTAAAGGTCATATATTTGGTCTTTTTGACGTTCATCCTTATGCCGTAGTTATTTTATATCTCATTCATACTTTCAACTAGATGTTGTAGATCTTCCGCTGTTCTTGTCATTATCACAGTATCGTCAGCATATCGAATGTTATTGATTACTTCTTCATTGTGTATTATCCCTTCGTTTGCATGTGAGAGAGCTTCTTGGCATATTTGTTCGCTGTAGATATTAAACAAAAGCGGTGACAATATACAACCCTGTCGTACTCCTCTACGTATTTCTATTTCGTCCGATGTTTAGTCGCCTACCTTTATATTAGCTCGCTGGTGTCGATGTTCTTACCTTCCAGGATTTCTTTGAGTTGATTGTGGCGTACTTTGTCAAAGGCCTTTTCAAAGTCTATAAAGCACGCATGCATTATATTAACATTAATTTAACTCAATTATTGTTTACATTTTACAGAAACTGGTAGTACCTCCACCCGATGACCACATAGTTTCACGCAAAAAACGAAGCGGTCTTCTAGACAAGTTAATCCACGGAGACGGAAAAGGAGGTGGGTACGGCGGTGGATTTGGAGGCGGTTTCGGTGGAGGAGGAGGTGGCGGTGGAGGAGGTGGAGGAGGTTATGGCGGAGGATTTGGAGGAGGTAAAGGAGGCGGTTTCGGAGGAGGATTCGGAAGTGGGAAAGGAGGAGGTTTTGGAGGTGGATTCGGAGGTAGTGGTGGTGGCGGTGGCGGAGATGGAGGTAAATATGTAAATTTTGCACACAGCGGTAAAATTTTGTAATTGAAAAAGTAATATTAGGGTTTAATTTGTACGTCCAAAGAATGACTAGGTCTGCTATATATGTCACTACATATCTGATTTTTAATTAGAGTAGGTGAATAAAAACTATCAGTCAATTTTAGTAAGACGATAGTGAGTTAGATCAAAATTAACTTATAGTAAATACATATGTGCAACTACTAAGGAAGTACATTTAAGCACAATAAAAGCTAGCAAAATAACCGCCAATCAAAGCAAAACTAACATTTGCAGTCCAAGCTAGTCATATTCTGCCAATTCTATTTTAAACGGGAAGATGTTTTACCGAGATATTCTACATCTCCAACGCTACTCAAGCTATTTTTAAAACACATATTAAAGCTATGAAAAAGTAAATGTAGAATTATGGGACTTACCAATCCGAAATAACTTCATGTATACATTAAATTTTGCAGATGACCAAGTGGTAACGGCTGAAGATGAAGAAGATCTAAATGATCCGAAATATAAAAAAGGAATAAAAACGAATACTTAACAATAGAACAAGAACCAGTGAAAAACTTAGAAATGGATGACGATAGGGAACTAAGCGAAGAAAAGGAAAGAAACAGTATTGAATTTATAATTTACAATCTCAAACAAACCACCAAGATAAAGATAACGATCCAAAACTACAGCAACCGAAATGAAGTTTATGAAAAGAAGCTGTGAAGTAACAAGACTGAATTGCATTACAAATAAAGGAATAAAAAGAAGAATAACAGTGCAACAAACCATACTATGCTATGTTAAAGAAAAATATTTAATTTGGTATTGACACATGAGAAGAGCAGATCGTCAAAGGTGCATATTCAAGACTTCGGATTGGAACCCAATAGGAAAGAGAAAAAGAGGCAGACCCCGAATATCTTAAAGGGCTGAAGTAAACGATCCATGAAGAGACGAAAACTTGGATACTGGCAGGTTAAAAGGACTGGAGACATTGACTAAAAGAAGAAAGGTACTGACAGTCGTAGAAATTTTTGTTTATACATATAGAAGAAACGGGCGAGAATGAAGCAAATAAATGGAATTATCTTAAGATATCATCACATAAAAGTTCTTTGACCGTAGCAACATAATTTGAGGATGTGTCACTAATAATTTTAAATGAAATTACTTCATGAATCATTGTTATTTTATAAAAGAGACACAAAATTTTATAGTCAATATTTTTCAGGTTGTGCCTATAGTAGAAATCCATTTTTAAGTAAGGGATGTGGTAATAGTGGAGAAAATTGGGGTGGTAATAGAGGTGGAGTAGGTAAATTCTCATTTCTTGAAATTATGCACTGTATGGGATTGTATTGTTGCACTTATTCTTAAATTAACTATTTTAAGGCACATTTTAATATCCTTAACAAATTTAATTAAACCAAGGCATTAAGACCTACATAGTGTATCATGTACTTAATGGTTTAATAATGGTTTAAAGTTATATTCTTAAATATTTGTGCTCCTTATCAAAAGCTACTGCAAATCACTAAGAAGGCTGCCTTTATAGATTAAGACAATACAGTCCATCCATCCTATGTTCTACAGCCCAATTTGAGCCCTGACCTCCGTCAGCAAACATCTCTAATCATTAGGGTCTCCAGTCGTTCTCCTCCACGAGGAGAATGACTGGAAGAAGTGAAGCATACTTTCTATGTCGTTTTTCTATCTTATTCTTTCTAGACCTATGCAATAGTATTAACAGAGATTCGTCGCGCCATCTATTAACGAAGCGCTGAAATAAATTTTTAATGGCTTGTTATAATATTACTTTAACCAAACATAGCATTAACTTTTTTTGAACTCATGTGTGGCTTGTCATTATTTTACATTAAGCTCTGCATATACATGATTTGCCATCTACTTTTCTCATTTATAAGACCTAGTATTCGTCTCAGTACCTTTATTTCAAAGATATCTTTGCAGTTTACATATTTTTGAGTCAACACCCAAATGTTTACAAACATGTCTCACTTTCAGTCGGATTATGGCCTTATAGATTCATATCTTAATTCTTTGATGTACGTCTTGTGATTTAAATATGGGCTTTTACGAGTCTTGACCTATGGAGCAGAGACCCTAACTTTAACGAAAGCTACTGCCGAAAACCTGAGGGTAACACAAAGGCGAATGGAGAGATCAATGCTGGGCCTGACCTTGAAAGATCGCGTGAGAAATGAGGAGATAGCCGACGAACTGGCGTAGACGATAATATACTGCGAATCAATAAACAAAAGTGGAGGTGGGCTGGACATGTTGCTAGAATGGAAGACGCAAGATGGACGAAGAGATTATTGGAGTGGAGACCAAGAGCCGACAAGCGAAGTCGAGGCAGACCACCCACCCGATGGACCGATGACCTAAGGAGAATAGAAACAAACTGGATTGCAGCAGCTAAAGATAGAGAGAACTGGAGACATTTGGAGGACGCCTATATCCAACAATGGATGTGAAAATGGGGCTGGATGATGATGATGATGATCTACTTTTTCTAAGTTGTCAACTGTCAGATTGACTTTCTACCAGCATTTTAGTCTTTTTGTGTTTATTGACAGACCTATTTGTTTAGCATGTGATTTAAGTTCCGTATATGTTTTCTTAGTTGTTGCTTTGATTCTGCTTACGATATATATGCTACTCTGTTATTTGCATATGCTACCAGTTAAATCTGGTGTTAGAATGCCTATCCAGTTAGGAAATATATTTGCTACTGTTGAAGTCCTATTACTGGTACTTATGCCATTGACGAACAATTAACCAGCAGTTGTAGATAATATGTTTGGTCATATTGCAAAAAATACATTTTTCTTTTTCCACTTTGACCACTTATGAAGATAACATTTGAATGAGCAGTGACCAATAAGAAAACCTGTGAGATCTACCCTGAATTCAGTCTCATGAAGGTCAAAAATATTTTTTCGTAACCAGAAGAAGGTTCGGTATTTCCCATTTTTTCCCATTTTCTATCATCCACTATGCGGGTTTTTGATACACCACATAATAGCTCTGGTTCTATAAAATATGTACTAACCCCATCATCAATTTAGTACCAGAATTTCCCTAATGTCATAGTTCACAGCAAAGTTACTTTGTTATGCCCTTCTTGTTACTTATGGGACCATTTACAGTTACTTAAGCAGCCGACTCATAAATTGAGTCACTAAAATCCATTTCAAAAGTACATTTTATATAAATATTTTTATTTAATCATACATTATTGTTATACATTTACACATTTTTCCAATCTAATGTTTTCATGATATAAATAAACAATTAAAATATCATAAAAAGCATCTACCTATGTACACAACCCTGTACACATACTTATTGAGGAATATTGAAATTTAAAGTAAGTTTAGGAAAAACGGGAGAATCGGGTGTTTTGGTAATGGTGAATGGAAATATTGTACTGATTTAGTTTTAAATAGGTCAAAATATTTAAAATTTACATAAAGTTATATTCACAATTTCAATTTTCTTCAAGGATACGGTGGTGCAAAAGGAGGCGGTTTCGGAGGTGGTGATGGAGGTGGTTTCGGTGGCGGTGCCGGAGGTGGTGGTGCCGGTAGTCACGGTGGTGGCGGTTCAGGAGGATATGGAGGCGGCGGATCAGGCGGATACGGAGGAGGAGGATCTGGAGGTTTGTTTATGTTCGGAATGATCCTTTATGTATATATTTTATACGAATATCTTTTATCCAAATAATCGAAAAATTTTGATAAGAAAAATGAAAAATATAGGTTGTTAAGAAAGAAAGAAAGAGAAGACTAGTCAAAAATTTAACACACGAAGAAATACGTGAATATCATGATCTCAATTAAAAAAAAAATCAAAAGTAATTAATAAAGAACCCACCAGATGTGAATTGGAAATCGATGACGTCAGCATTGAAACAGTATTGATAGCAAACATCTTTGGATTATGCTGTCTGTAGACCTGGAGACAGCACTGAGAGAATAAGTTCAAAAAGCCAACTGACTCAAAGAATTCTTTATTGAAACTGTTAGTACCAGTATATAGCGAATCCAACATATTAACACTGAGATGGAATCTAGAATCTCTAAAGCCGATATAAAACCAGTAATGACTTATGCATCAGAAAGAAGACCAAAAACAGCTACAACGCAAGGGCTGTTGGAAGCAGCGATTAACAGTCAGGATTACTTATAGAGAGAAAGAAGAAGAATAACATAAAATGTTGGTCTTTTATTGGCGTTGATTATTTTTAGAAACACGTATTTTATAATCCCTTCGCACAACTTGCTCTTTCTATACTCCACTGATTGGTTTTCCTTCTTTATAATAATTATTTCGTTTACGTCTCTTCTAGCAACCGATTTGGCATTCAAATATCTAATTGGTGAATTGAATGAATGGACATAATCAGAAAAATACGAAATGAAACAAAGCAGTTAAACAGTTTACAAGAAGGATGGAAAGCGAAGCGACTTCTACGGTACACAAAAACAAATATGGAGATTCATAAGAAACAAACAAAAAGAAATTGCAGAATTGAAGGAATACACTAACATACCAGCAAACGAATGGAAAGGATATCTGGCAGAACTGTTAAAAGGAAAGGAAAAAAAATCAACACAATAACGTACCTGAATTAAACACGAAATAGAAATCAGTTTTCAGGATGTAGAGATAGCTATAAATTTACTCAAAAATAGAAAGTCTCCAGGACCAGACAGAATAATCAACAAGCTTCCAAAACACGGAGGAGAAAGGAAAACCCTTGAGATGACAAAACTTATACAAAAACTAATATTGCACTGCAAGATGCCAGATACATGGAAAAACAGCATAATGATACCAATGTTCAAGAAAGGGGATAAAGAAGACCCCAACAAGTATAAAGGACACCGCACTTTAGCTTACCACAAAAGTCCTAACTAACAAAATCAATAAACTAACAACTTTATCAGATGAACAACAAGGATTCAGATCCGGAAGATCCTACGTAAACGCCGTATTTGTACCAAGACAAATCACAGAAAAGAACCATCATATAGAGTACAATAAGCCATCATATCTATGTTTAATAGACCTTACAAAGGCTTTTGATCGCGTTCAAAAAGGAAGAATCTTACACCTATTGTATAAAAGAAACATAACAATCAATATTATACAAACCATCGAAACTATCTACTTCCAAAATCGAATACAGCCAAAGATAAATGAAAACTAACACAGTGTATATCAGTATTAAGTGAGATCAGACAGGGTGACTCGTTAAGCATACTTCTTTAATAGAATAATGGAAGAAATAATACAAGCAGCATGTAAAGGTCATGGTTACAGAATGGGGAACAAAGAAATCCAAATATTATGTTATGCAGACGACGCCGCATTAATCGCCGAGACAGAAGACGAGCTCCAAAGATTAACACACATCTTCAATACAACGACCAAGAAATACAATATGATAATATCAGAAGAAAAAACCAAATGTATGACAACATCTAAAGACCCACTATGATGTAAAATCGAAAATGATGGAAAATAATAAGGCAGGAAGCAAGGTTTAGATATCTGGGAATAGAATAATTAGTTACGGGAATGTTAAAGCAGAAGTACGACAACAAAGCTTAAAAGCAAGTAAAGCAGCGGATGACACAACCTGGAAGTACAAACACCTAAGACAAGGCACAAAAACAAAAATCCATAAATCAGCAATTAGAACTATATTAACATACACGGCAGAGACAAGACATGACACATCTAAAACGAGACGACGACTCGAAAAAACAGAGATAAAAATATTTCGACAGAAATATCAGAGAAAAGTTTGTTGGATAGGGAGAGAAGCGACAACATAAGAAGGGCATGCAATATAGAAGACATAAATGGATGGGAAACAAGAAACATAGAAAGAAACAAGAGTGGAACGAACACATTAGAGTGTATATGATAATACTAATAGCACGAGATAAGTCACCAAATGGACGAAGAAGTATTGGCAGACCAAGAAAAAGATGCTGCGATAATTTAACAATTTAGAGGGCTAATATTGAAGAAGAAAAAGGCTTTAAAGCCTACATACAGGAAGAAAGAAGGAAAAGAAGACATAATCACGTATGTTGCACAGTGCAGTGGTAAAACCTATATGTCATTTAGTTTTGATTTATCACTTGATGACTTCTTTTTGTTTCGAAGGTCAAGAATAAATTGTGTGGACAATAATTTTCATCGACAAAGGAAACCCTTCACCTTGAAAGATTAACTGCTGGAGTTGCTTCAAAATAAATTAAATATTTCTGTTTATTTTACAAGTTTTTCGAATGACTGGATCATATACTACGAGGTTACGTCCATAACTCTGTCAATATTATTTTAAAATATCTTCTTCTTTTTGTGCCACTCCTATCGGAGATTGGAAATCATCAAGGCTATTTTGACCTTGTTTACGGCTGACCTAAAGAGCTCATTAGTGGTGCAGCCAAACCACTCTCTCAAATTCCGCAACCATGACATTCTTCTACGGCCTGGATTCCGTTTTTCTTCTATTTTTCCCTGCATTATATTTTGAAGTAATGCGTATTTATGTCCTCTCATCAGGTCACCAAAATATTCGAGTTTTCTTCACTTTAGCGTTAACAAAATCTCTGGGTCTTTTCCTATTCTTCGTATTACTTCACAGTTTGTTATTCTTTCAACCCAACTAATCTTCAGCATTCGACGGTAGCACCACATCTCGAAACTTTCAATATTTTTCATGTTGTTCTGTTTGAGAGTCCAGGCCTCTACACCGTATAATAGCGTGTTAAATACATAGCCTCTCAGCATTCTTAATCGTAGAGGGATGCTTATATTTCTGTTACAGAAGAATTTTCTCATCTTTATGTAGGTGGCCCTGGCAATTTCGATACGTCTTTTTATTTCACTGTTTTGGTCTCCAGTTTCGTTTATTAAAGTTCCCAAGTATTTGTAACTTGATACTTTTTCAACTTGAGTGCCGTTTATACTAATATACGCTGGTTGTGTCATGTTTTTACTGAAGACCATATACTTGGTTTTTTTTTAATATTGATATTTATACCATAATTGTTGCAAGCAATATTTTATGTCCGTAAGCAATCTTTGTAATTCTTCTACTGTTAATTTCTCCATTAATTACGATTCCTCCGTTTGCTTGTAAAAGGGCTTCCTGACAGATGCTTTCACTATATACATTAAATAACAGAGGTGACAAAATGCAACCCTGTCGTACTTCTCTACGTATTTCTATTGCTTGTGATGTTTCAGTTTCTATTTTGATGTTACCTGTCTGATTCCAATATAGATTGAGAATTATTCGCAGATCTTTATTATCTGTGTCCTTCCTTTCAAGAATCTCTCTAAGCTTATCATGGCGTACTCTGTCAAACGCTTTTTCAAAATCGATAAAACACGTATGTACCTCCTGATTAACGTCTAGGCATCTTTGTGTAAGAACATTCAAACCGAAGAGAGCTTCTCGAGCACCAAGCCCTTTTCTGAACCCCATCTGTGTATTACTAATATCTGACTCCAACTTTTGATAAACTCGGTTGTAGATGATTTTTAGAAATATCTTTAGTAGGTGGCTCATTAAAGATATTGTTCGATGTTCTGAACATTCTTTCGCATCAGATTTCTTTGGCAGTGTAACGAATGTAGACAACAGCCACTCTTGAGGTATAATACCAGTATTGTATATTGTATTAAATAAGTGCAATATTATACCTGTTGATTCATCATTCAAGAGCTTTAGCAATTCGGTAGGAACCGCATCCGGTCCATTTGCCTTCCCAGTTTTAAAATATATTGTGTTCTAAAAATATATTTCACTTACAGGATTCGGAGGAGGTAAAGGTGGTGGATTAGGAGGAGGTGGAGGAGGAGGACTTGGCGGAGGTGGCGGATTAGGAGGAGGTAGCTCTGGAGGTTACGGAGGAGGCGGAGCTGGAGGATATGGTGGAGGAGGATCAGGAGGTACTAGATTCATCAATAAACTTAGTTATTGATTATATTCAATTCCGAGTTTTTCAAAAGCACACTTAAAATTAACCGAGCCATATATTTACATATATTTACCCTAGTGATTCGTGATATTTTTCTATAATTTAAAAGTTTCTTTTCTACTCTTCAAGCCTAACCTCTGATATAAAAATATAAGTAGCTTTGTTTTAATTTAAAGATATAACAAATATTAATTTGTGATATTAGGTTATGGAGGCGGTAAAGGTGGAGGCGGAGGTCTTGGTGGAGGAGGTGGATTTGGAGGCGGAGGCGCAGGAGGTGCCGGATCAGGCGGCGGAGGTTCAGGAGGTAGGTGTTCACGATTTTTAAAGTTTTAAAATATTTTATATATATATATATATATATATATAATATATATATATATATATACATATATACATTTTATTTTCTTTTATTTAAATGTAAATTACAACCAGAGAGCTAAGCGACAGCCATATTTTCAGTATTTATTTTTTATGTGTACTGCGCACATTTTTAGTATATATCTAGTTGAGTATCTTTAAAAAAGATCTACTTTTGATCCTTCAATACTCAGTTTAGAAAACAATTATTAAAAAACTTTTAAATGCACTTAAAATTATAAATAAGATAGTCTTTTAAATACATTTATAATTAGAAATAAGATAGTCTTTTGCCAATTATTTATCATACAAATTATGCCGTACATTATCATCATCATTATCATCATCAGCCGTTTTTAGTCCACTGCTCCTCTTCCCTGCCTCCTTACTGCCTCCCGTAAATAATTCCAATGCATTCTACCTTGAGTACCCTGAATCCAGTTGTGCTGAATGCGCTTGATGTCATCTGACCACCTTGTTGGAGGACTTCATCGAATACGATAAGCATCGTGTCTAGGTCTACATTCCAGAATTTTCTTTGTCTACCTTCCATCTTTTAATCTGGCATTGCCCCGCCCATTTCCATTTCAATGTTGTAATCCTTTGAACTGCGTCAGTAACACCAGTTTTATTCCTAATTATTGTATTTGATACTCTGTCTCTGAGGGATATATTCAGCATTGACCTCTCCATCGCTCTCTGTGCCACTTGTATTTTATTGATTACTTTTCTGGTAAGGGTCAATGTTTCTGCTCCATACGTTAGAACTGGGAGTACACATTGGTCAAAGACCTTCCTTTTCAAGCACATGGGAACATCTAATCTAAAGACTTCTCTCAGTTTTCCGTAATCCGCCCATGCCAGTCCTATTCTCCTGTTTAGCACCGTTGTTTGATAATCTCTTCCTAATTTAATCTCGTGGACCAAATATTTTAGCTATACACCTGTTCAATTTGCGTGTCGTTAGTTGAGATGTTTTTCGCCAGTACAAGGTTGGTCATATATTGTGTTTTGGAGAAATTAATTTTAAGTCGCGTACACGAGCTGTGAAGGTCTTGAAGAAGCTGGCAGGCATGATTTACACGGTTTGCAATAAGGACTATGTCGTCTGCAAATCTCAAGTTGTTGAGAAATTCTCCATTTATGTTCACTCCAATACTCTCCCTAATTATTGTTTCTCATAGCAGTCTGCAACAAAGCGATGAATAGCTTAGGGCAGATGGTATCTCCTTGCTTAATACCCCTTTCGAAGGGAAATGTATTTGTGTTGCCATAATACATTCTAACTGCAGCTGTTGCGCTCTTATACATATTCTGAAGAAGAGTTGTGTACCTATGATCAATACTACACTCTATAAGAGCTCTTAACATGAAGCTATGCTGGACTGAGACAAACGCTTTCTTAAAGTCTACAGATATTCATAATTCATAAGTTAAAATTGATTTCATGTAATCGAATGAACTATCTTATGAGTAAAGTCGTCCCAGAGCGCAACTCAACAATATTGGCAATATCATTTAAAGTCGTCTACTTGCATAATGTATGTCTGAATTGTCAATATAAATGAGTCAGATAAAATTAAATTATTAGAAGAATTTTTCACTATGTAACAAAAAACAAAAATTTGTTTAATTTACTGTTTGTATTTTGAGAACGATTTCTGAAGTAGAAATTGGAACGTCAATAAACGTAATAAACGTATTTTTATCTTTAATTGTGGCTTATTCCCAGTTTAATAGTAATTAATTTACAATGCCACAAAAAAATATATCAGAACAATAATATGAAGGTGCTGGCCCATGACTTAACCCCCTTCAGGAGGACCGGGTAATTTTTAATCAAGGCTTTTTTCCTCTAGACTAGTTGTCTTTCAGGACTGTAGAGACTAGTCTTCCCTTAACTCGGTTCTTCCGCTTTCGGGACCATTGGATTTTACTTGTGCAATCCGAATCAATCTCGTTTGCTCTGACCACCGTTGACCTTCGCCTGTAACCCTAGGCAGGAGCCCTTACTATTATCCATGCCAGATAAACCCTGGTTTTTTTACGAGGTTGTTATTCCTCCCCCATCCTCCTTTATCCGGGCTTAAGACCGGCAACATAACAGCTAAACTACTCAATTCTCCCAGCCGTCATGCAGGCAGAGTTAACTCCTCTTTAAATCCATCTTTAAAAGTATAGTGCTCTATGGATGCGAAACATGGCAACTTACTAAATCCCTTGAGCAACGCTTACTTGCATTGGAAATTGCTGGACTTCTGGAGAAGATCAGCTAGAAAATCAAGGCTTAATAGTATACAACTGCACCAAATTTTAAAATGGACGCCAAGGGAAAGAAGGAAGAGAGGAAGGCCAAAACAATCCTGGCTAGGCGGCATTCAGAAGGCAATGTCGGAAAGAAACCTTCAACCTGGCGAATGGAATGACCGACGTAAGTTAAAACTGGGAACCGGAAGGCGGAGATCGCAATAAAAAACCGGATAATAATAATAAACAATTAAGAATGCAAGAAAAGATAGTTGGAAGAAGAAAATAGAAAGAAGAAGATAAGTTTGATTAAAAGATCTTCGGGAATTGTTTAAAATCATCAATTAATTAAAATGAAATCGCAAAAAATTTCCCATTTCTACTTTATTGATATACCACCCTCACAAGACAGTACTTGATATAAACATACCTTTGGTCGAAATACATTTTTCTATTATCATGATTTTAATTAAAAGCAGATTGGTATATAATATGTCAAATTTCGTAGTCCACATTTATGTTTGCCACCATTGTACTTTTTCTTCGTATTTGAAAATTTACATTCCATATATTTCGGTTATACTTATAAAATATACTTATCTTTTAGGACATGGAGGAGGCGGTGGCCTTGGAGGAGGAGGTGGTTTAGGCGGAGGCGGTGGATTAGGCGGAGGCGGTGGATTAGGCGGAGGCGGTGGATTAGGCGGTGGTGGTGGTCTTGGCGGAGGTGCAGGAGGTGCCGGTGGTTATGGAGGCGGAGGTGCAGGTGGCCAAGGAGGTTATGGAGGCGGAGGTTCCGGAGGAGGAGGCTCTGGAGGTATGTCACTTACTATTAAATTTTACGTTAAATCTTCAGAAAGACGAATCTTTATCCGTCAGCACGAATCTATGGTCTAACCGAGATTAATTCTATAATCAGCAAGATTCAATCTCTTGGCAATACATATGATTCCAGGAATCTTCAGCGTACTTACTCCAGAGCTCAATACATGCCAAAACGATTTGATTAATAGTTTCAGTCTATCTTGTCAGCTTGCAAATTTAATGAGTAGTTTTATTTTCTATCTACTTCCTAAAACTATCGAAAAAATCCTTAATCTAAAGGTCATGAGTAGATTAATTTTCTGAGGTTTATCCATGTTATTGAATAACGATATCTAATAAATAAAGTAATAGATATAGATACTCTTCACAAGTTTAATAAATAGAAGGTCCATTGCGTTCAAAAGCGATTGATCAAATAATATAAATTTTCTAATACAGCTATTGTACCTCTCTATAAGTTCATTGGTTAAGGCAATTTTGTCAACCAAGAGATGAAAATTAGCTAAGCCACGTCTGTCATGAAAAAAACTCTACACATTTCATGAAAAGGTTTAAAATAGCCTATCTATGCATCTCAATAATTGTAAGTATGATTCACACAAAGAAGAGAAAAATTACTTTGACGTTACTACAAGGTATCAATTGATATGTCTATAAGATATTAATTGTAGACAATCACTAAATTTCAATATATTTTATCGATACCCAAAAATACTATTTTAGGTTATGGAGGGCGGTGGCGGAAAAGGAGGTGGTGCTGGTGGAGGATATGGAGGTGGTTTAGGAGGTGGATTAGGCGGAGGAAGCGGAGGTCAAGGAGGTTATGGTGGAGGCGGCTCAGGAGGTCACGGAGGAGGTGGAAGTAAGTTGCAAACCAAATAAAATAAACAAATACACTTTTATTTAAATCTAGAATTCCATGTGCTAATCTTTTGCAACAATCAAAACAGATAAAGCTGTACAAATTCGAATGGAATTATAAGTTCGAACTGTTTCTAAATTTTCTTTGTTTGATTTTTCTCGATTGACGATGATAAAATAAATTTTGAAGCTGTGGTGTAAAATATAGTTTTATTGAGAGCTACTGAATTATTACCCCATAGTTGTTGAGTTGTTGTTAAACTATATTCGAAGCTATATTTATAATCTCGCTACGAAATGTTACGATTCATCAAATATACTTCTACCTATACATAATATTCTTCTAATTTAAATATTCTTCTTCTTCTAATGCTGTCTTTACTAATGAAGGTTGACTATAACAATTGCAAATTCGTCTTTATTTTCAGCTTTTCTTAAGAGCATATGTGTGTTTGACCCGGTCCAGTCGCAAGTGTTTTTCAGCCACGATATTTGTCGTTTAACTGGACTCTTTTTCCTTTAATTTTACCCTTCATAATCAGCTGCAATAACTCGTACTTATCATTTCTAAGTATGTGCAACAACTGTGCTGTTTTTCTCCTTTTAATGTTGGTCAAAAGTTCTCTGTCTCTTCCCATTCTGTGTAACACAATTTCGTTCGTAATATGATCGATCCATGGTATCTTTAAAATTCTCCTAAAAAGTCACGTCCCAAGAGCTTCTCAGTTGTCTCATTAAGTCAACATTAACAGTCCAAACTTCGACACTATAAAGAAGAATATAGTGGATATAACGTTTTACCATCCGATATCGGATTTTCAGATTGAGTCTTTGGTTACTCAGAAATTTTCTCATCTTCAAAAAGGCAGCTTTTAATTATTCTATTCTTGAGCGAATTTTCTGATTTCGGATTTAGATCTTCCATAATCAAGACTCCTAAGTATTTCATTTGGTCCACTTGCACAATATCTTAATTTTTTATTGGATCCTTGTAATGACTTAGCCCCTCTTACTGATAACTGTAGTTTTATTTTCTTTATGTTTATTGTTAAACCAAACAGTTCCGCAGTATCACAATTTATGTTCAGTAACGTCTGCAGATCTGTCTCACTTTCAGCGATAGTGACTGTATCGTAAGCATAACGGATGTTATTTATATTTTCACCATTCCCCTTGATCCCTTCTGTACAGTTTTCAAAGTGCTTGCGTAAATAACTCTTCTGAATAGATATTAAATAGTAATAGTAAAAGTGCACAGCCCTGTCTCACTCCTCTACTTATCTGTTGCGCATCCATGCTATTTTCATCTAATATTACCACAGCTTTTTTGTCGAGTCCTTTTCTCTTTAGACATTCTATAAGAATGTTAGGTGTAATTTTGTCGAAAGCTTTCCCATTGTCTATAAACGTAACAAAAAGATCTTTTTGTTGGTGTCGACATTTTTGGGCAAGAGTTGTGAAACTTTACGGAGCTTCCACTGTTGCGAAGCCCTTACGAAAAGCCAAACTATCTATTACTCATAACCGCTTCTCACTTTCTGAATATTCTTGCATATATAATCTTTCAAAATGTTTTAATAAGGGTGACATTAAGCTGTACGATCTATAGTCATTATAATGTTTGGGGTTCTTGGTTTTTGGTAACGGAACAAAGGTCGATACAAACCGTTGTGTAAGTATCTCACCAGATTTGTATATATGTTGTTAAAGAGTATCGTTATTGAACTTTGTCTTTGTCTATAAGTTTAATCACCTCAGTATGAGCTGCATCTGGCCCAAGAGCTCTGACAGATTTTGAGTTGTTTATAGCATGTTGGACTTCAGATTTTAATATTATTGGAGTTTCCTCATTATCAATTTGATATTGAGGATATTTTGGTGATATTTTGAAAAAAGTTTCAGTATATTTAGTCCATACTTGTTTTATTTCAAATGGGTTGTTAATAGGTTTATTTTTTGTGTCAATTCATCAAGTATTTGTTTGTGATTTTCCATATAATTCTTTCACTTTTTTGTGTAAATTATAATTATCACGCTTTTTCTGCAATTCCTCCACTTCGATGCATGTTTCCATCATCCATTTTTTCTTAGCCTCTTTTTATTTGTTTCTTTATTAAATTATGTTTTTTCTCCATACTTATTTGGGTTTTTGTTTCTACATTTTCTTCTTTGTTCGATGATTTCCAGTATTTATTGAGTTATCCAAGATTTTTGGCTTTCCGTTTTCTTTTGCAGAGTTTCTTTCTGTGTTTTTAATTATTTAAATATAAATAAATGTTACCCATTGCATTTTTATTGTCTGTTCTGTTTTATTCTTGCATACGCGGTTTTTGTTTGTATTCAAACATTGAATGTTTACTCAGTTCTGTTTTTTTATTGTTTTCTTTTTGCTTTAACAATATTAATTGTAGGCTTTATTCAGATATATTTAAGAAACGTCATGTAAATATTAAAATTGATAACTTGTATTTGATCTTATATTAGATTTTTTTTTCGGTATTTCTGATCCAGGTCATGTTGTCAAGAAGCTGATAAGCCTGAAAATTCATGTACCTTTGAAGTCGTTGTTTATAATTGCTACTTTTTGCTTTCCGATAGTGTTCATAACATTCCTATCTACTTTATTTTCGGCATTTTATTCTAGCGGTACTGCTATCAGCAGCAGAATTATTCAACCATTTAAATATTGGAAAGCTAGCTATTGGAAGCTAGAAAAACTACAAACGTGTTTTAAAGTTTGGTTGTATAGGATGTTATTGTAGGTGAATAAGATTGACTTATATTCAAACAGTGGCCCAACGACTAGACAGCATCCACTTTTATCCGTATATTAATATTAATCCTAATATCCCTTGCAAGAAAGGTTCTACTTTATGTAATACATGAAAGACTAAAAGCTTTTCTATTACCTCAGATATCAGAAGAACAAGCGGGATTTGTCTCAGGAACAGGCGCAAGAGAACACATCCTTAATATCAGATAGCTAATCGAAAAAACTCGTGAATTGAATACTCCTATGCTTATGTGTTTTTTGGATTACACAAAGTCCTTTGGTAAAGTCAAATGGCAGCAGCTATGGTCCATACTAGCGAAAATGGGAACACCCCACCACTCAATTCAACTAATTAGAAGTCTTTATGAAAATAATAAATGTGCAGTAAAAATAAACAACATCCGTTAACAATCATTTCAGAACAGAGGCAAGTATCAGACAGGGATGCATAATCTCGCCAACTCTGTTTAATATCTACAGCGAACACATTATGCGAAAGGTACTAGACGTATGGTAGGGTGGAATATCAGTCAAAAGGAGGTCAAAAAATCAGTAACTTGAGATATGCTGATGACACTTTAATAATCGTGGCAAATCAAGAAGAAATGGAAGACATAATGAGATGTCTGAAAAAGAAAAGCAAAATATATGGACTAAAGCTAAATAGGAGTAAGACAAAAATCATGATCATCATAACAGGGGTGTGACAGAGAGATAAGTAGCAGGTTGACTATTGCTAGAACAGCTATGATGAAACTGGTAACAATTAGGAAAAATTCTAGCAAAATAATACATACAAAACTAAGGCTGGTAAGAGCACTCGTTTTTCCCTTAGCCACATATGCATCCGAAACGTGGACCTTAAACAAAGCGGATAAAAATAAACTAAGCGCTTTTGAGATGTGTTTATACTGCAATGTGTTAAGAATATCCTGGATTGATCATCGCACTAACGTATCGATATTAGAACAACTTAGTTGTAAAGGATAGATTTCTTAAACAAATACAACAGAAATATTTACAGTATTTTGGAAACATTGCTAGAAGAATATGTACGATAGAAAAACTGATAGTCGAGAATAGAGTTGAATGAAAGAGACCTAGGAGCAGATATCCAAGCCGTTGGGTAGATCAAACAAAAATATTAATTAACCCAAGGGTTACATGAAGCCAAACAACTAGCCCAGAACAGCGAAGAATGGAGGAAAATCCTAAAAAAAACTGTAAGGTCCTGATGGTGTCACCATATCCCAAAAGGGATTAGGACTGAGGAAGGAGGATATTTAAAGATGGATTATGTGTTCAGAGGTATAAGATAAGAATTACTCCAAGTCATATTGAAAGCAAGATGCTAGAACTCGTACCTGAAAGACCTGAGGAGGTTTGACCACTCATTCGCAGCAATATTTCATGCAGCAATGTCCCAGAAGAAGAAAATATTCAAAAAATAACACAGATACTTTATTCATTACAATTTATTATCTTTATTAACTCTTTGCATTGGTAAACCAACGTTAATGGACTTAAATTAATTCATTTAATTCTACAAGTCTGGTCTAGCTGTGGATTTTGCTCTTGAATTTTTAAATCAATTACTGTTCCTTGCTTCTTATAAAATATATCTTAATAAAAAAATAACTTTCTTTGATTTCGAAATAAGCTTTTTCTTTGATTTGGTTGCAGAGCTGTTTGAACCAGTTACACAATACTCATCATTATTTTTTTTGTGCTTAAATAGGCAGTCCGCCAATATATTTGTTTGTATTATATACCTTTTATAATCTTAAATCACAGTTTCTGTAGCCATTCCTGTTCTGATCGTTTTTGGATTTTTTAGTGTCGAAGAACCTGCTATTACTCTTTTGTTTAGGAAATATAATCATATTTTGAGATTTTTCTTCTGTTTAAGTAACATTGCAAATTTTTAATTAGTGTTATCACTATTATATGAAATATCTACTGTAATATGTTCTTCTAGATCTCAAGCACTTCGAGGGTTATCTAATATGGTATAGTGATTTCTTACTGTACTTCTCTACATTTTGTGAGTATTTAGATATAATCGATAAAAGTTTCAAAGTGGGAAATATCCAATAGTGCAAAATAGTGCTTTCTGTATATTGTAAATTGCTCTTATGGCCAATGCTGCTAAATGCTGGTATCACATCCAAGAAGATATGAAAGCTTTGGCTACATATAATTGTTTTATAAATCCAAAAATAGTTATTATATTTGTTTTAAACATTTGTATTACTTGTTAGTATACTAACAAAATGATAAATTACCAAGAATTCTTAAACAAAATTTATAATTACTCATACAGGCGGTGATGGATTTGCCACTGGTTCAATAGAAATCATAGGAGGCGGTAGCAAAGGCTCTGGAAAAGATAAGACTGGACCTATTATCTTCGATAATAATGATGACGTCGGATTTGGCGGATCTGGCAAAGGAACCGGAGGAGGCAGTGGCAGCGGAGGAGGCTACGGTGGCGGAAGTGGTGGAGGCGGAGGTTTAGGAGGAGGAGGCCATGGTGGAAGTTCTGGAGGCGAAGGTTTAGGAGGAGGGAGCGGCCTTGGAGGAGGTCATGGTGGAAGTACTTCAGGTGGTATTATTATCAACGGAGGGGGAGGGGATGGTGGAAGTACTTCAGGTGGTATAATTCTCGGCGGAGGAGGAGGTTTGGAGATGGTCATGGAGGAGGACTTGGAGATGGAGGCGGTATTGGAGGAGGTTTCGGCGGAGGAGGTGGTTACGGCGGAGGAGGTGGTTTCGGCGGAGGAGGCGGTCTAGGAGGAGGCAAGGGAGGAATAGTTCTGGGTGGTAAATATTTATTGAAAATATTTGAAGAGTTGTTGATTTTTATAAATAAATATTATTTAATTCCTATTAAATAGATGGAATGTTAAGGTTATTATGATTGTTTGTAGGTAAATAATTAAACAAATGCATTTTAGGAATAGTTTAAGAATGCAATACAACTAGTGATTTCCCTACACATAATCAATACCTACGTATTTATAAAAATCAATTTACTCTTTGAATAATTCCTTGTTGAGACATATATTTTTATAATAGGCGAAGGAGACGAAGGAATAGTATTAGGCGGAGGGGGTAAAGGAGGTCATTCAGGAGGATATGGAGGAACTAAAGGTAAATAGAAGAAATACGTGTAAATACAAACTTTATATGGCTACAAATGCTTTCAATTATTTTTTATACATCTATCTGACACTTTGTTTTAATCTTCTTAATTAATATAAGATAAAAACAATATTTTTAAAACAATATCTATAGATTTGCATCCTTTTTTCGCTGCTTTTGGTTCAAGTCTTGTAGACTTCTTAGGCTTTATTGTAATTTAAATTTTTTTCTTGACTTATAGATAACTTCTGGTGTACTTGTAAATTTTCGATTACAGCATATTTTTCTATTGGTTTGTATCACATTCTAAAGGAATTTAAGTTATGTGTACATCTTTGATATAATTTATATTTTTACAGGCGGTGGTTACGGAGGAGGTGGAGGTTGTCCTGGAGGATGCGGAGGTGGTGGTGGAGGCAAAGCATACGCTCATGCAAGCGCCAGTGCCAGTGCATCATCTTAGTAAGTATTTGAAAAGTTAAATCAATTTATATTTTTGAGCGTTTTATTGTATTTTTTATTCCAAGTGGTTAATTCTTTTCTTTGGATTTCTTAAATTTTTTTCTCTGGAGATATTAAATCTTATGCTATATCAATTTTAATCTCATACACCATCATACCGACTTTGTCGTGCCCTTATTTCTGGATTTTTTGCTACTATTATATTCAAACACTGAACAAGCAACCCGTCTTGTTGTTAACTGAATTTATTATTTTAAATGCATATTGAAAGACAAAAAAACCAAAGAGGCCTGACACAGCTATATGATGTGCCTTATTGTCCCCAAATGTATCGTCCCATGCTTTTTTCTTTCGTTTGAATTTTCATCTTTTGTAGCTTATTGGATTTTGTTTTAGATATATTATTATACGAGTATACACTGAGCATCAAAATTAATGCAACACCTCAAAATAAAGATTTTTGATGTCTCGAATTCCCAACTGTTGTCTATTTGAGATTTTTAAAATATTATAGCCTATGCATTAAGCATATCGTATATATATATTGTTACACAGGTAAATGTCATTGTATACCGAGTGTAACAATGAAAATGTATTTTGTTCCAAAGTTCGGAACAACCTGTGGAATATTCTAACGTTTATAAAATATTTTAATTAAAACTCAATTGTAGCGTTAGGCTTTCTTAACATTTTATTTTCTGATTCACTTGCTTATGGTTGATAATAAAAATTATATGTACTTTTATAATACAAAACGTTTTTATTAGCATTCAATATCATTACAATTCTCGAGAGCTACTGTTTCTACCTTTTATAAGTTCTAGGAGGTGGCAAACGCTGTCGTAGTCTTCTGAAAATTATGTCCTACGAATATTTGATCAGGTTAAGATCTGGACTATGAGGTGGCCAATTCAAAGTTCGAAAATGTTTTTGTTGTTATTCGGTTACAGTTCGTGCAACGTGAGGTGATGCATTATCGTGTAATAGCAAAAATTGTTACCAATATAAGGAGCGAAATGTAGAACATACTCAGACAAGATATCGGTTATGTACCTTTCACTAAAGAATTTCCACGTAAAGAAACAAGATCTGTCGGCGATGTTATGAGATTCCTCCCCAAACCATTATAGACCCTCCAAGAGACTCAATTTCTCCGTATGTTGCACTGGGCATAACGCTAATTTGATTGTCGGATTACTCTTAAATGTCGATCGAAACTACACAGGCAAAATCTGGATTCATATGTAAGCGTTGTCTCAGTCGTCACTAGCTCTGCAGTACTTTGCAGTTAATACTGGACCTCTAGCTAGTTTTCGAGTACACAAATCATATTCTACAAAACGTCTCCTTACGGTATCAATGCTGGGTTGGATATTATGAACCGCACTAAGTTCTATTAGAAGTTCATTTCTCTAAAAGACGCTATACACGCTATGTAGCGGTCGTTACTATTTAACTGTACACCGGTAATCGCTACGTGTAAGGTAAAACTGCACGATTTTTACGATTTTAAAAACGGTACCGTGAGCAGTTTAATCAATACGTGTATGTTGGTATAATAGCATTTCCTATATAACAGATGCAAAGGAAAGATGGTATAGTGACAGATGCTAAGATATTGAACAGTTGGTAGAGAAACATGAATATAAACCTTCATTAGAAAATTAGGGAAATAACAGGCACAAATATTGGCGAATGGATTTAGTGTCCGCAGTCATTTAAACACAAACAAACAACAACAAAACAGGCACTAATATTAAGAAAAAGTCAAACATACTGCTGGATAAAAACAGCAAAATAATTATAGACGTCGGTTAAAGGCTTAAAAAATGACAGGAGTATATTTAAGAGCTATTTAAAGACGTACGAACTGAGATAGTACTAGAGCAGGAAAAGTTCAACAACGGCCCAGACCTAATAGAAGATGAGGTATAAGAGACGATAAAGCGAACAAAGGACAACAAGGCAACAGGTCCTGACGAAATACCTATAGACATTATACGGTTAATAGAAGAACAGTAAATTGTATTATTGGTCGATTTATTCAATACAGTATACATACAGTATAGGAATCATTCCCAGAAATTGGCAAAAGAATGCCAAGACTATCGGATAATAAGTTTAATACACCGGAGAATACACAACAAACTTGAGCAGGACATAAGTGACACACAGTTTGGATTTAGAAATACACTGGGAACGAGGAAAGCCCTGTTCGCTGTAAATGTACTTGTGCAAAGGGGCATGGATGTTAATGTTAATAACCAGTGTGTTTCTTGGATTACAACTAAACCTTTGATGAGGTCAGACATAACCGTTTTGTCGAATTTCTTGAAAAAAAAAAACCTTAGAGAAAATGAGAGGTATCAGGATCATTAGCGCTATCCATTATAATCAGATTGCTGTGGGTTAAGAGAACAACGTAATTTTAAATAAAATACAGATTAAGAGGGCGTCAGGCAGGGCTATGTCCTGGCTCCTACTTTATTTAATTTGTATTAAGAGGAAATAATCCAGGAATCACTAGAAGAATTAACTATGGAAATACACGTAAATAGCCAACCATTTAATCATATACGGTTTGCCTACGACACTATTTTATTAGAGGAATGTCTTGAGGGTTTACAACAAATGGTTGACAGAGTGGTAGAAGTCAGTAAAGTAAACGGACTGTCCCTAAACACAAAAAAAGACACAATTTATGGTAATTACAAAAGACCAACAGCGCCAAGAAAATATAACAATACATGGAGAACAAATTAAAAAGTTGAAAAATATAAATATCTGCGTACAATATTTAATGAAAATAATGAGTACACTGAAGAGATTAAGGCAATAATAGGACAGGAAAGAAATTCTTTCAACAAACTGAAAAAAGCACTCTGCAGCAGGGACATTTCAATTTCATTAAAGATAAGACTTTTAACATACTACGTGTTTTCCGTATTATTTTAAGGGTTGGAGGCTTGGACATTAAAGAAATGTGTTTCGGACAGATATTAAGAATAAGTTGGGTGGATAGAGTCACAGATGTCGAGGTGTTGACAAGAATAAAAAAAGATAAAGAGGTGTTAAATAGAATTAAAGTCATAAAACTGCAATATCTGGAACATGTCATGAGGGTCAGCGTTATAACTTATTACAATTAATAATGCAAGAAAGAATACAGGCTAGAAGGAGTCGCGGAAGAAGACGCATCTCCTGGTTAAACAACTTGAAAGCTTGTTTTAACTGCACTTCTGCTGACCTCTTTAGAGCAGCGGTATCGAAAATGCGAATTGTCATGATGGTTGCCAACCTTTTTAGAGAAGATTGCACATTAAAGGAGATTAAAATTGTGCTCGATATTTGCCTTTAATTTTTCGAAGTTCATTTATCAAATGGTTAATTTTTCATAGCCTACTTTAGGCTTGTTTATTAAACTAAGCAGAAAATAAAAATATATTGGTGAAAAACATCGCTAATTATTAAAAGACCTACATTTTTTTATTATCCAACATAAATCAATCAAATGAAAAATGTTAAGATAACCTGAGGCTCTAACATGGTTTTAATTTCAGTATTTTATAAATGCTAAAATATTCCACATTGTTTTGCAAACTTTGAGAAAAAAACAGTCTGATTGGTACACCCAGTATACAATGACAATTTAATTGTCTAGGAACAATATGATTATGGCAATATGGTTTAGAAATAGGGGAAATAGCTATCACATATTAAAACAATCACTTAAATTACACAACAGGTTTGGGAAATATGAGACATCAAAAACCAAAAAAAAATTAAGGTGGTGCGTTAATTTTGCTGCTTAGTATATTCTTTTATTTAAATAGATTTCTTTTATTTAAATAAAATATAAGTATGTAAAACTTAAATATTTTATTATAATTTTTGGTTATTTTTATGTATTACGTTTTTAGAAAACACTAAATTTTACCTTTTTTTTTGTTTTAGCGGAAGATAGCAGGTAGAATATCGAGGTTAGGATTACTTTTTTATGTAAGGTGCATATGTATGATATTAAATTAATAATGTAAATAAATTTGTTTTATAGTAAAAAGACTGTTTTTATTTTCTGTAATAATATATCTTAATGAGGCTTAACCAAATTGTAGTCCTAATAAAAAAAGTGGTATTATACAATGGGCTGTAGACTAGCAAGAAAAATGAACATTGGCGATTTTGATACTAATACTGTAACTTTGGTTACTTTGATACAAATTTCGCAGCCTCCAAGTCATTTGAAATGGGTTTGGTTAAGTCTAAAGTCTAAAGTCCACAAAGAACATAAAATTCCTGTAGTTGCTTGTACACCATAAATTATAAAAACTCATGAGTTTTTTTATAAGTGTGTACAAAACCATATCAGTCCTTTCATTTACCTATAATATAATAAATTATTTACCGTAATAACGTTCTGTGCCCTGCGAGAGTGTGTAATGTCTTGTGCAATCTTTTAACACAAAAAAAGTTTATGTACGGGTTTGACCCTTACATAAACACAGGTTTACCACAGTGCTCCGTTATATCCGTTGAGTCAAAGTCCGAACCATTGTCGCAGGTTATGAATCCATGAGTGTCGTCTTCTTCCCGGTCCCCTCCTACTGTCGATTCTTCCTTGGACTATTAACTGTAGCAGCCGATACTTAGTATGCCTCATAACATGTCCGAAGTACTGAAGCTTCCGTTTATTTACGGTTAAGATTATTTCTTTGCTTTCGCCTATTCTCTGCAATACTTCCACGTTAGTGATGTGGTCTGTCCAGAATATCCGAAGAATACGGCGATATATCTACAGCTCAAAGGATTCTAGTTTCTTCAGAGTGGCTTCCGTTGTGGTCCATGCCTCTGCTCGATAGAACAAGACTTGGAAGACATAACACTTGACCAGTTTTAATTTTAGTTCCATTGAGATTTTGCTTGTGAACCACTTTTTCATATTGTTGAACGCGTTTCGCGCTTTTTTCAATTCCTGATTTTATTTCTGTTGACTGGTCCCA